CTCCGGGTGTTTTCGATGTCAACTAAAAACACATCTTATTATAATTGTATTTTTTTTTCATATCTATGAGTAAAAAACGGAATAAAATGTTAGGATGAGAGTTGCAGCTGAACAACTGTGCCTGCAAGTATATATAAAAGGTTTCTGCTTTTCACAACAACAAATACGATAGACATACAATACAATAATTACATAGTTTGCATGTACAGTACACCCCCCCCAAAAAAAGAAACTGCAGCGGAAATGTTCCTTAACTCAGTTGGATGGATTTTGATGTATTATTACTGCAAACACTAGAGTCGGGTTGATAAGTGATGAGTGCATAGTCCTGAAAACATTTATAAATATGTTCACCTTAATGTAAGTGTTTCAAATGTAAACAATTGGATCCTTACATAACACTGAATGAAACAGCTACGTGATAATTGTGAAGCCTTTGAACTGGGATCTTTCATTTTAGCTTCGATCAAAAGCATTATAAACGTATCCTCTTCTGTTCTTTCTTTGATGATGTGGTGGTGTCAAACGGTCAACATATGTACACAAAATAATAAATATATATCAGGATAATATTATTCCAATGCAAATGTGCCCTCAAAACAATAGTGGTATACATGCATGTATCACCTGAGTTAGAAAAAGGTTAATCTTCATGCTATCCACACAGTGGATTTAACAACACCGGCAACTGTATTGCATTCAGAAGAGAGTAATCACATTAAATTAAGCGTGGATGATTGGTTTTGATATGTAGCTCAGTATAAGTATATCCACATGTGTGTAGCCTGCAGGCTGCAGGGGGAGACGCTCACTCAAGTCTTTCCCACCTTTTCTCACGCGAGGTGCACCAGCGCGGAAGCACACGCAGTGTAATCTGAGGCACACCTTGCAAGTAATCAGCGGAATGTGTCTCATTCCTTTATGCAAATGCCTTTACGGGAGGATCAAGCAATTAACAGGAAGAGATATGGCTGGTTGATTACACATTGAATGGATTGGATTAACTAACCTTTAGACAACTCACAAGAATCCCTTTTCAGTGGCAGTTTCTCTCCTTCTGAAACCCTGGTTCAGATCCAGTGCAGGCATATTAAAATGAAGGTTGTGGTTGAGCAGTGAACATTTAACTGACTGGCTATTCTTTAGGAAGCTTAGTGGCAGCAGACACAACGTGAATGTACCAGAAAGAATGAGTTGTGCTGAATTAGTTAATAAAGAAAACTGCCTCTTAAAGATCAAGCGAGTAGTAAAAACCCAAGGAGGAGATAGAGATGGGACTGTATGGTCATTACACTTGAACTTCACTGAGATTCTAATGCACTATGGCAACTGCACTCAATTTTACATTTACTGTGTCTACTTGGCTGGAGTTAAGTTGTGATTGAGACATGAGCCATATCAGTGGCATCCATCTGCCATGTTATGAGTTTGGAACAGAATGTGTTGGCTTATTGACATATTTTCTGTGAGGGTTTATATCCTTCCATGTATTTATTTTTATAATATTTTAGTAATCTATTTTATGTCTCCAATTGAATAAATTATGCATACTTGTTTAAGATGAGGATAGGATGGCAGCATTATGTTTATCTTAGTTGGAGTTGCTACATTTAGAAATGCATTATTTTATTTATTAAAGTGGAGAAGCAAAGAGGCGTTCACTGTGGTTTCAATGTTAGAGGGCCATGTGCAGCAGAAAACATTACGGAGAGATGATCATCGAAGGGACACAAATGGTAAACATGTCTCTGGAGACATATGCATTAAAGGGACTATGGCCCTCTAAACGACTTGAACTCAATACAATGTGGACCGGTGATTCATCCTAACCTGAAGGACTCACTTGAAAAAGCATTATTTATGGTTGCAATGAAATGCAAACATTATATGAGCTATACATTCACTAAAAGTACCTCAAAGTTAAACACAAGTTGAAGGACAGCCTTCCTTAATAACAGTGAGTGGAGGGGCACCTTTGAAGGGTATGTCAGTGAAATAAATGGTGTTCTTGTTCTTGCCCATTAAGTTATGTAGGTTCAGCCCATTTATTTTTACAGTTTTAATCAGTCTTACACTTAAGACACAAATATGGAATAAGTTGATGCATCATTGATATGTTACACTGTTGTTGGATTGTTAGTTCATTTGACAAGACCTTGATTTCAACACAAATGTGTACTCAATAACAGCTGCAACGCTAAATCTTCCTACAGTAACGACCAGAAGCTGTGTCCCTAAATGGCTATATTTAGATGGTTAAATCGTGTAGGATCACTGATCAAGCCTGCATAAAGAGCTGAGACAAAGGTTATTGCTCCTCAAGGAGCCATACCAATAAAAGCTTTAAAGCTGCAGGGGGATTTAAAGATAGACAACACCCACTCGGAAGGGGCAAATAGTTTGGTGTAGGAAAAGTCCAACAGCACATGTTTATCAGAGCAGTTCTAAAAACATCTGGTCAGTATGCTTTTACTGCTTCCTCAGACATCCACAAGCTCACAGCTCCAAGTACAAAGAGAGGAGAGTTAGCCCATGCTGGGATGAGAAGGCTCTCTGTTCACTGCTGGATTTCTCAATCAGACCCAAATAAAGATAGGTCATGCTCAATAATAATGTATCAATGTTGAGGAAACAGTAACAAAAGATACAATTCATTGCTTGATTGCAAAGAAAGAGCATTACTGACAGTACATACATTTATTTGAAAGTTTTATGTTGTTATGTATATTAAATATCTGACACATTCAACCATTTTATAGACTAACTAAAACATCTATCAAATTTGGACTTGCAGACATTGACAACAAAAGGTGAAACCAGACCAATACATTGTTCTGTTTTACAAAACATTGCACTGTCTTTAGCATCACAGGATGTGAAAATAAAACATAATGTTCCGTTGCAAGAGTAAATGACTAACACTAGTTCTGAAGTCTGTTACCTCTTTCACACGCGTGATTAAAAAAATGTGTTGGACAAATGTAAAAGTATTATGTGTGTTATGCACTGATTTGCAGATATGATAACATCAACGTTGTAATTTCCATCAATACCACAGCTTTAGGGGTAAAAATAACAACCCATCAAGAGGGAAAATAGCTTATTATGGTCATCAATGCCAACATTTACAAAACACCCATTGTATACTGTTACGACCCCCTCCACTCCACTAGAGGTCTCTGTCTTTGTGTTCTGCTTGCTGGCTCTTGTTTGTGTTTCAGGTGATCAACCTGATGAGCAGAGTTGGGTGTAACGCATTACAAAGTAACGCGTTACTGTAATAATATTACTTTTGTCGGCAACAGAGTAGTGTAACGCGTTACTTTTATAATTCAGTAATCACACTACAGTTACTAACATTGCCCCGACACGCGTTACTTCGTTACTTTTATAAAATAATCACACTCACTGACAGACAAGAGGGGTTTCCGCCGCAGGTTTGTATACATGTAGGCCTACGTAATCTGCGCGATTTGCCCGTCCACATCTCCACGTGCAGTGCTTCATAAACATGGCTGAGTCTTTTCATCTGTAAACTCCCTCAACGGGACCGCTCGCTCTCTTTTCTTGATTGCCCTCTCACGGGTGAACAGTTCAATGTCCCGCTTCATTATAGGAATTCTGCCTTGTCTCTACCACTTTAGTTTGACCATCTCTGTTACTAAGTTATGGAATACTAAATAAATAAGTAATTAGATACCTTACCATTACTGCGCTCATAAAGAATGATAAGAATAAGAATAATGCGTCTTGAACTCGTTTCATTAATTAGTGTCTTTACGTTTCTCAGACTGTTAGCTTGTTGGGGTAGGCTGGTAGCCTATTTTATTAAAGAGCATATCAAAAGAAAGACTTGTCTTATGTCTTCCTTAATGAAATAGTAATTGGGGGTGCAAGTGGAGTCTCGCAGAGGCAAAACTGTGGCGCGCTTACACTGTAGGTGCGCCGCAGTCTGCGTGATCTGCCTATAGGGAGGGGCGGGCCGGCCCTGCGAGTAAAGTAACGAGTAAAGTAACGAGTTACTTTATGTAGAGAGTGACGAAGTAGTGTAATATATTAATTTTTTTTAAAGTAATATGTAATATGTAATATATTAACATTCTTTTTAAGTAACGACCCATCTCTGCCGTATCCAAGTACCTACAGTTTCTGCGCAGGGTAGANCTGCTCCTAGTACTAGACTCCTGGTACTAGGATGGGTTAAAAGCAGAGAACACATTTCACTGTGTGTGCTGTCTCTTTAATGGTCACACATGCAGAGCACACAGCACACACAGTGAAATGTGTTCTCTGCTTTTAACCCATCCTAGTACCAGGAGTCTAGTACTAGGAGCAGTGGGCAGCTATTGTACAGCGCCCGAGGAGCAATGGGAGTGAGGGGGGAAGGGGGATGTCTGGTGCCTTGCTCAAGGGCACCACAGCAGGGCATGAGGTGAACTGGGACCTCTCCAAGTAGAAGTCCACACTCCATATTTAGGTCTGGTCGGAGACTTGAACCGGCGACCCTACGGCTCACAGTCCAAGCCCCTACTGACTGAGCCACTGCAGTGTGCAAATAAGTAAATGTTTATGACTGTTTATTTATTTTCAGTGTTTATTTGAGTGCTTACTTCAAAGCTTTTTTGTTCAGTCTTCACACATGACAACATATACCGGTACATTATACAGTCATAGTGCTAAAAGCATTTAGACGCAGGTCTATTAATTATCCAATCATGGAACTGTGCAAATTATTCCTAATGGCTTGACGATCAATTCAAGAGAATTACTTCTACTGTTTCATACATTTTTCAGGAAATAGCCCAGCTGGTGTCACTGTTAATCTTCTCCAGTTGTGTACGCTGAAGAAATATAGCTGGGAAATGAGGTAGCATGGCAACTGCTTATTTGATAGACCTCTAATGAATGAGCAGGGTAGGGTCACTTACATGGTAATTTATTCTGCAACTGAGATGAATAAATATCCGCCTCTGTGCCCCTTCTTGTTCTCTGTGTCGCAGGAGAATGCAGCTGTCATGAGGGTTATTCCCCTGATCCTGTCCATAAACACCTCTGTGTTCGCAGCGATTGGGGTCGAAACGAAGGGTAAGTCCCATCTTCTCTGTCCACTCGTATCTAAAACTCACTTGTACTTGGGTGACCTTAAGGCTGCTTTCACAGCCCCAGCTGCATTAGCTCACAATATTAACTTTACATGAAATTAGGGTGAATTGTTCGCCGTGATGGATTAGATCTTTGGAGCAAGTTTCAATTCTGTGCAAGTTGATCCCCGGAGTATTACAGTTAAATGGATGGAAACTAAGGTAGAAAATCAATCTTATAGTCTACTGTATGCTTTCAAACATGGTCACCAGTAATGTGAAATACAAGCAATTTGCAGGTAATGGGCTAAAACATGCAAATGTGCCTGAACGGTCTCTTAACTTGAGGAAGGAGAATTTGAAGAAGAAATCAGAAATACAGAAAGAAGGAGGATGGAAGTCATAGTGTGTATTGAAACAAAACAGCAGGGAGGGGCAGAGAAGGACACACACAAATAGACTGATTAATGGATAATAACACTAAAAAAACACAGTATATCTTGATATAGGGATATAAAAGTAAGTCAAATGAGTCCTCGCTGACTCTGACATTGTTTGACAATTAGCTGGCTTGCCAGTCATCGATTTGCTTAAAAGGTCACACATTGTTTTTAACTCCACCTGTCATCTGCTGGATCCAGTCCAGTCACATGTCAAATATATATTAACACTTTTGTAAGAGTAACAGCTGTTACCGTATCCATATGAAAAACTACATGTTGATCAAGACATTTTGATTTTGACCTTGGTTATTTGTATATTGTATTAAACACATTATGCTGAATACTTTCTTTATGAATACAACAAAATCATCCTTTTTTCCACTGACATATTCATTATCTAGATCTTTCGTTCATATTTTAATATTTGACTTGGCGTTCAATTATCTGTGTTCTCAGTCCTTGGCCGTACGCTGACCTGGAGAAGGGCTATGACCTAGTTACAGGGGAGCAGGCCCCAGAGAGGATCTTCAGGTGAGTCCTCTGCATCTCCAGAGTACACGACTTCTGCCGGCCATCTATGACAGTGATGATGGTGGTGTTCTTGGCATGTTTGTGTGAGTGTTGGCATGTGTGTGACGGAGCATACAGATGAGCAGAGACACATAGACACAGTTGGATGGACACACAAAAACACCTCTTGCAACGATGAAGTCTTACCCATGGGCTTTTATGTGGGAAAATAGCCAAAGGGGCAGTCCTTGGTGGACTCCTTAAATGCTTTTACTGCCATTTTTGTTTCTCTTCTCATTCTTGATGGGGTCACTGTGTCTGACATTGTTCCAACCTGCAAGCTCTAAGGAATCATTCAGTAGCACTCTGGCGTTTTCATTTTCATTTTTAAATAGTTCTGATCAACATGACCTAGCTCATCACATACACTTTCAGCAAGCCTGTCTCCTGCAAAATAATATTCACATATAACTAAACTGCATTCTTGATAATTTTTGGACAGAAATATATGTTCTCCTCTATTACAGTCACCATTTTAAACATTTGGTGAATGGTGATGTCAGGTTGATTGAGTAGAACATCATGGTTTGGTTTTAATGTAGTGCATTTGTACCATGTGGACATAAATTAACAACAACTGAACACTAAAACCGCCAACATGCCATTACACCTAAAACCCCCTAACTCAACAGCGTCAGCACTTGCAGAGATGTCATTTGTTTAAACATTTAATTTGTTAGTTTTCATCATTTTCTTATTTACTAAGTAGGAATTAATACAAAAAAACGATTTAAAATTCAGTAAATGGGGTTATTTTTTAAATTACTTCAGTTTCTAATCATAACAAATAAAAAAGTTCAGATACATTTTATAATAAATCAATAAATGGTGCGCGTTTGGCAGTTCTAGGTATAAATGCTTATATATTCTTTGTTCTCTTCGTTCCCCACCCCCCAAAATTCACTCGATGATAAATATATAGATTTTGAGAAAAGTCATGTGTGCCTTTTAGATTAACAGTTACACATATTTCAAAATGCACGGGTGAAAATGACCCCCTTTGCAGTTCTAGTGTTGAGCCAAATGTACTGGATGTGCAACGCAAGTCAGATAGTTTTGTGACTATGTAATTTGTTGGGTTAGTAAACAAGGTAATGCATTGCCTTGTAACACATGTAGCCTTTGTGTCCACACATTTTCAAAAATTAACATGCTGAACATTGATTCAGTTTTAAAGGACATGATTTGTATTTTGTCAAATAGGTTTTATCCTCACTACTCCTTTAGTCTGTATAGGTAAAGTAGGAAGTGTCCTTTGTCACACACTTATTGCTGCTCCTCGCGTTGACCTTGCAGAGTTAGCTCTTCGACGTCTTTCCACTCTAGGAAATCAGGTAATCCACAATCTTTGTTATCACAAAAGCATATTCCAGCTCTCAGCTGTCCACTGCCAGTTAAAAGCGCTACAGTATGTTGGGGATTGGACTTGAATGGTGCCCGCCTACAGTACACACACTCACACAAAGGCAGAAACCAAATCTACTGCTTGGCCGAGAGTAGTCAGACCGGAGTTTGTGAGAGAAGAAAGATGAAAGGAAAACTGCACACACACTCACACAGATAGCTGAAAAAATGAGTAAATGTGCAGCAACCGAGTGGAAACCCTCAATGTGTTGCTGTTGGAAGGGGTATATATCAGTGTGTAGGGGAGGATAGGAGAAAAGGCTGCACTGCTCTTCAGCGTGACAGTGTTAGAGTCACTCCTAAGAGAGATTGGTTTAACAGATGGCGATCTTTGTGGGAAACCAGTGATGTCTCTCACCTCTTTCTTGATGCTAGGAGCAATGAGAAAATGAACTTGTTGTGATTTGAAGGATCACTTGGATAAAGATGTAATGGAGACAGTTTCCTCATTTAAATATTAATAAACCACATGTTGAAGTTTGAGGTCTGGAGTGTAGTGCATTAAACATGATCTGATCATGATGTACTGGCAGTTGTGTTTTTGGACGTTTTTAAATGATGAGGTTTAGCAGTCCACAAAACAGGATGTTCCGGTAATAAGTTCACACCAAAGCATGTTTGACAGGATGAAAGTAAGCAATACTTAACTGTAGATAACCGTATACATGACTTAATAGGAAAACATGCTCTTTGTAATATGGGATCTATCAAGTTTATATTTGATATTGCGGAAGGCCTGAGGGCGCCACTTGTTTTTTCTACTTTGAAGTCTTCTTTCAGTGATCAGCATTTCATTACAACCCTTGGTGTGTGCTACCTTTCTTGCATTTTATACCAATTATATTGGCTTAAAATTAAGGAGTTATATTCTAAGCTTTTACAAGTATGGCCATTAAAGCTTTGTTTCTAGACTTCTAGGAATGTGTGATATTGCCACACACCTTCTCAGATTAAAAGCCCATGATGCAAAGCACACCCATGTTCTGTGCTATTTTTGAGGCCAGGTGTTGCTATTCCCAAGTGACAAGTCTCGGCCCCCCAGGGCGTCCTCCTGAGGATTTTAATCTTCACTCGTGAGAAACTTATTTGGCTGAGCCACATTATTTTCAAACCACCCTGAACCATGGTCACACATGTTGCAAAAAGTGTTATGTCCCATAGCACATTATGTTTAAAGACAGGACAATTGATTTTTTAAATTAGCAATAAAAAAGCCAGCTCACCACAGCTACTTCTAATTTATTCGTTCAGTTTCCATCAGTGTGGATGGACAACATGTGAATAACAATTGAACGTATTGCCACGCAGTATTGCCAGCAATTATTCAGTAGTGAAAAAGTTCCCTTGACTGTAATATAACTGTGTAAGATGGGTGTTTCATGAATTAAACATTTGTTTGCATGTACAGTTACTACAGTATATTACGCTGAATGTATAAAACTACACAATTATGCCAACAATAATATATATATATATATTGCTGTCTTCCTATCAAGCCCTTATCAGCCATGTACTATTTTATTCCTGCTCATTCCTGCATATCTTTGCATGCTGAAGATGCATTCAAATGATATGTGATTTTCTCTTTGCTCAGCGCGAGGTGGGGTGCAAAGCCTTGCGTTCAGAACAGCCAGTTAGATGTGTTTCTATGGTTATCTCATCTGATGGCTTGCCCCACCTTATTCAGCTGTTGTCTGATTGGTTGGGCCTTGAAAGGTCAGCTGTACCTGAGTCAAAGGTCAGCACAAGGCGACAATTTAGAGTGCTGATTGACACTGTAGGGCGGCACCACTCTCTCCATAGAAATACAACGTCAGCGTAGAGCCATTTTTCCGCTTGTCATGTGAATGCAGCTCTATATATGTACAACAACTATGTGAGTAATAACAAAATGTTGCAAAGTGGCAGTAGTTTGATTAACATTTATGTTTTCTCCTGGTTGCCAACACAGATCATTCTACAGTATGGGCCAAGGGCTGTGGCTGCCAGTCAGCAAGAGCTTTGTGGTGCCACCAGTGGAGCTGTCAATCAACCCCATCGCCAGCTGTAAGACAGACGTGCTGGTTACTGAAGACCCAGGAGAGGTCAGGTCAGTCTGATTCACAGCTCCACACTTGTGTTGAACGGGGAAGTGCTCTGTGGTTCAAATATGGTTCAAATGAACTATTCTTTGTGTTTCTCTTTTACATGTAACATAGAAATGTCACAGGCTTCATCATTTGTGGCTGCTTTATAACCGGCTGTACTTTTATGAAAGCCAAATACTTCAAATGTTGGTCTATTTGACATTGAAATCACTGACAAATTATAAATAATTTAAGATTAGCATACTGTAAGTACATGCTATGAAAGGTTGGAGCCTAATACTCAACTTCATAAGACTTGAAATGAAATAACATGCAAATTACCCATTAACTATGTATTTAAAATCTAATAGGGTTTCAAATGTAGAGGGCTAAAGTGACAGGCAAAGCAGCAGTACAAACACTTTTTTGACTGTGCACATAGAGATCTAAATGAATCCAAACAGGCAAGAAGTGTCAACAAGGTTATGCATTTGGCAATCCCAAAGTGCAATAACAAAAATGTGGCAACAACAGAATGGTGTTTTTCTCATCCAACCAGCCAGTACGAGCTGGCATGCATCAGTGCAGCTGAACATCACAAAGCACGTCAGAGCATCAGCTGCAGATTGAAACAATCACCCATCCACGGGATCCAACTGACACCAGCCTGGGAAGTGATATTTGATTTGAAAACCCCTATTGTCTGCCTTTCCTGCATACACAAATGTTCCACTCTTTACATAATTTAAATGTAAATAATACTATTGTTATACAGGAGTACAGTTCAATCTACGCCTGTGCATCACTGAACTCATGCTTTACCTATAAAATAATGTTACATTGTGTGTAATCAGTAATCATCAGAGCACATGAAGGGACATTATGTACATATTTTCTTTTTTGCAAATATTTGTATTTTGTTGGACATATCATCTTCAATATGGTAAATGTGTTAAAAAACTAATTACAAAGATGCCTACACCTTATCCCCCACCCCCCACCTTATTATTTATTTATTCATTTTTCAAGCATTGCGGCTTGATTCAGTGACCAGTGCATTGAGCCTGCTGTGACTGCCAGATGGAATCACTGATCTCTGGTCAGCAGCTTCACTGTGAGCACGCCCATCCAGGATAATAAATGTGTTTGTCTTGCCATTGTTCTTTGAATTATATTTCCTCTCGACAATATGTCCTTTTGGAAAACATTTTAGCAACAACACTCACATCTCTGACATCTTCATGAGTACAGATGATTAGTGATGAAAATGTCCCTTTACCTTAAAATTGCCATTAAATGATTATGTGGAGAGTACAGGGACTCATCCTGGATCTGGGTCTGGATTAACACTGAGCAGAACCCAGAGGTATCACGCTCAGTGGGGGATGGATGATCCCCGCTAAATGTCACTTAAAGTTTGCCGGAAGAACTCCACAGACTCTGTGATGACAGCTTCTTCTGGTAGCAAGTTCCACTCTCTGATTGTTCTTGGAAAGAAAGAGTATTTAAGAGTGCCACTAGTAGAGAAAACTTGCT